AAAGGAACTTGCCAACAGGTTACTTTGGAGCTGGGATTTGATCCACCACTACCTTATGCTTTCTGAAGGTAAACTTCACACAAAATTAGTCAGTTATCAAAGTGCTGCACAGCTCTCACATTCTGAATTGTTTTAAAATTGTAATTGTGTTATTCAAACTACTAAATATCTTGCCTTGAAAGCAAATGCTTTCACAATGAAGAACTATGGCTGAAAACCAGCAATAAATAGAGTAGGCCAATTTGAATTAATGGAGAGGTCAACTCACCAAATCCCACTGATTCAATGGGTCTACTCTAGAGGTGACTTACTCCTGAGTTTCAGCCCCTATGTAGTTAAATCAATAAAAATAGAGTAATCATAAAATAATGACTATAGTAGCAGCAGAGATGAGAAAGATCAGCACTATTAAATTGATTTAAAGCCAGCATTATCCTTTGTCTGTTGTATTAAAAAGACAGGTAAGGCAGCCCTCTCTGCTAAGGATGTGAGTCTCACAACCTCCTACTCTCAGAGTGAAGCTGGATAGGGGACATCTTTTCTCCTTGGAATAAAATTTCTATACACACACACAAACACACACACACACACAAAACAAGAAGCAAAGTGTGCTGCTTACAGTATATACAGCGTCATAGCACTTAAAGCACTCTTCTGGGTGTTTTTCAATTTAATTCTGTAGCTACACATTGGCACCCCCACCCCACCCCCAGCAAGCTGGGTAATAAATTCATTTACCTCAGAAAGATGGAAAGCTGAGTTAAGCCTGAGCTGAGTCTGCTGGGATCAAACTGAGGTCATGAATAAAGTCTTGACTGCAGTACAGCAGTTTAAGCATTATACCACATTACTTACAATTGAACAGATTAAACAGCAAATTGAAAAACAGGACTGCCTCCAACAATAGACTTCTACAGACTCACTGCTTTCAACGGACTCTAGAGAGGGTAAAAGAAACTCAGCAGAGAGACGGGACTCTCTTTGAATTTAAAGGCAGAGAAGGAATGTGCTGGATAGATTGACAGTCACCCAAGCCCAGAAAGCTCCCTCCCAGCTAAATCTATTAAAGGTGGCATATGAGGTTGCAAAAACTCCGACATAACATTCATTAGTCCCTAACAAAAGTGTGCCCAGAGTAAGTACCTGTGCTGCTGGTTATCTTCTTACATTCCAGAAATAAAGTTTTCCATGAAAGATGATGGATATCACTCAAGCGTATGTGACTGTATGAGCAGCAGTCATTAATACTGTGCTCTAAAAACTTTACCCTAGCAAGGACGATCAGCTAAATGACTAGAGAAAGGGACTGTTATTCTTTTGGGTGCTAATAAAGGGAAGCGTACTTGATTAAATGGGGAAAGCACCATGCAGCATGTGAAATGCTATCTGGGATTCATATGGCTCCTTTCCCTCCCCTTCACAAAGGCATTCAAAATTTCCCCTTCTCAGCTGGCTTGGATATTAACTTTACAGTGGATGGTTTTCAATAGAGATCGGCAAAGAACTGTTGTTAAGGATCCAGACTCCTCCTCCCTCCATGCTGACTGTCCAGGCTCTGGTTTCCTAGCTTTGGGCTGTAAAAGACTGATGCTCCCTTTCTTCTGTTGGGGACCATTACTTTCCTGCCCATTTAGCTTGTTCATCTTCTTCTCTGAACTTTCCTAACAAGTGTCTGCAAGAGGCACTGTTGTTCTATATGTTGCCTATATGTCCTTGCCTCAGTACTTAAACTCTCCAGATTTGGGAGGAATGGATTTAATCAGTGTAAACGATATTGCTAGGAGAAAGCAGCAGTGATTTGAAATGACTCCTGATAAAGGTGAAAAAAAGAGAGTGCCAAAGCAGGGCTGCAGTTGAACACTGGAAATACAGAAGAACTAAGAACATAACTTTAATGCGGACGACAAATAATCTGAAATTGATAGAGATTTTATATACCTTGGTTCAGTCCTCAATCCAAATGGAGACCACAGCCAAGAAAGCAGGAGACTGAGATTTAGGAGGGCAGCTAGGAAGGAACTAGAAGATGATCAGACATAAGGAGATCATTAACACTCCTGTATTTCCAATTATGCACTATGTATGGAAAGATCAATTCATTTGAAATACGGGGCTAGAGAAAAGCTTTTCAGATACCCTGAACCACCAGAAAAAGAAACAAGTGAATGATAAAACTGAGGCTATAGTACTCTGGACACATCTTAAGAAGATAAGAGGGAAAGAAATAATAATGCTAGGAAAAGTTGAAGGCAGCAGGAAAAGAGCAAGATCACATGAGCTGAGGGCTGTTCGTGACAGGAGATTTTGGACATCACTTATTTGTAGCATTGCTATAAGTCGGTGTTAATATGGCAGCGTATTATAACAACAACAATGACAACAAAGCATTTAGAGCACAGTACTTACAGTTTTGACTTTAGGTGAGAGAATCTTGGGTTCAAATCTCCACTCAGCTACAAAATTTCTTGAGTTTCTTTGACCTGTTAAGATCTCTGGTCTAACTTATCTCATAGGCCTGCTATGAGGAAAGGGTGGGGAGGGAATTAAACATTCTCTGAGCTCTTGGGAGGAACAATATGATAAAAAACACGATTAACCACATCTAAGGGAGAAAGGAGAAATATGTAAAATACCTTACCAATGAGGAGAGAAAATTAAAGTGGCCTCTTTTTTTGCCAGTGAAATTGTGAAACAGACTAGAAACTGATGAGATTGGGTTGTCTAATTTAGATCCAGTGATGAAACTGACTAAAGATCAAGAATTGTGGCTGAAACTAATGGGGTTTTAAGAGCCAGTCCTGAACAAATTTACTCAGAAATAAGCATAGCTCTTGTTCTGTTTTGCAGCTACATATTTTAAAAACATAGATATATACCTGCATAAAATTACATACACATATATTATGGAATTTTTATTATACCATGCTATATTATACTATACTATGCTGTATTGTGTTTGCTCTGTGCTGTCAAGTTTGAACTGACTTATAGTGACCCTAAGAGAGCTTTCAAGGTAAGTGAGATCTTTAAGGAGTGGTTTTATCAGTTTCACCCCCGCCCAGTGAGTTTCCATGGCTCAGTGGGCATTTGAACCGTGTTCTCCAGAGTCCTAGTCTGTCACTTTATCCACTACATCATACTGGGAATATTAGATTACCAATACATGATTGCATGTCCACACTTACACGCTACAATTATGCTGCTTCAAAAACTGTAGAAACACACACAGGTACACATACAGAAACAACATGGTTGAAATGATGTTGAGAAACACTTCCATTTTGTGTGTGAACCATGAAAGGTGGAATAGAAAGTGCGCACTGGATGAAGTCATGCAAATAAAACCAAGGTGTGTAGGCATCCTTCAGTCTCGTGAGACTATGTAATGTGGTCTGTATGGAGGTCTTGGAACAGTGTCTTGTGTGGCTGAGAAGGCCAATTCGAGAGTGACAATCTCTTCCACACTGGAGACAAATCCAATCTGTCCCCTGTCCAGCTCCCTGGTTTTGCTTGTTTCGGGACTGCCTCTTTGCCTCGGTCTGCTGTACAAGTGTCTCTTCAAATTGGGAGAGGCCATGATGCACCGCCTGCCTCCAGGCTGAATGCTCAGACGTCAAGGTTTCCCATCTGTTGAGGTCCATTCCTAAGGCCTTCAGATCCCGCTTGCAGATGTCCTTGTAACGCAGCTGTGGTCTCCCTCGGGGGCGGCTTCCCTTCACTAATTCTCCATACAGGAGATCTTTTGGAATCCGACCATCAGCCATTCTCACAACGTGCCCAAGCCAACGTAGACGGCGCTGTTTCAATATTGTATACATGCTGAAAATTCCAGCTCGTTCTAGGACTACTCTGTTTGGAACTTTGTCCTGCCAGGTGATACCAAAAATGCGTCGGAGACAACGCATATGGAAGGTGTTCAGCTTTCTCTCCTGCCGTGCACAAAGGGTCCAGGACTCGCTGCAGTATAGGAGTGTGCTCAGGACACAGGCTCTCACCCCACACCCTGGTAAAATCTACAGTAATTGGCAACTGCAGTTCCAGGATCTAAAAATGCATGCCAAAAACTCTACACGGTACACAGCTCTTAGAAAAGTACTGTAATATAACTAATTCTCCATCACCATAGTAACGTCTGAATTCTCCTCAATCTCAAGCAGGAACAGGGCCCTCTCAGTGGCTGCCTCACATTCAGACATCTTGGCAGACACTGATAATCTTGCAGGAGGAGACAAAAACATTTTCTAAAACTGGCATCAGACTCATACACTGAGTTTTAAATTTAGGGATGTAACGCTTATTTCTATCTTGCAGGTGACGATTTAAAAAATTCCAATGAAAAATCCCATTAAATGAGACTATGAAGATTATGGTGCATCTTTCACATTTGGAACTTTCCTGTTAAAATTTTTGTGGACGTGTTTTGATTTTTGGTTTTTCAATGTTTTGTGTCAAAATGGCATTTTGTATCTAAAAACTGTTTTTAAGGTTTTGAAATACAAGGTTTTGAATGTAAAATACCTATTTTGTATCTAAAATAAAAGGGTTTTTTTGTGCAAAGCCTGCAGCTTTTTGCTAATGTTTTTGCTGCTGGAGGCAGTGCTTGTCTTTTTGCTGACAGGCAGAAGCAGAAAATCTCACAGTGGTTACCTATTTGTTTGACAGGGCATCATGCTGTGTTAACTGGAAACCTTTTTTTCTTCTTCAAGTGTGGGGACCTCTGCAAGTGTTCATCACACCCATATTCTGAATATATATGAAGCTGATTGTTAATCTTTATTCTTACCAATTTTTTTTTTAAAATCTAACTTTTTGGGATTCCCCCCCCCCACTTCTCATTTTGTTGCAGTCCCTACATATTCTTATTAGCCTTGCATATGGGATAGAAATTTCACCCAAAAACAAATGCCTAACCAATAAAAAGATACCACAGTAACACAAGGCAAAACAATTTGCCATTGCTGAAGATGTTGGGGGACTTCAGGATTTACCTTTTCACTCACTTGTGCAAGGGGTTTATATTGGATTATATTAGCTTGTATGCAATTGCTAATACGCTCTTCCCAATGCAGAGTGGTCCTTAAATGGACTGAGTTCTATTATATAGTCCAAGGAGATCTGTAAAACAGGCATGAATGAGAAGGTATACATTGGCCACTTCCCTGCTGCGGTATTAATGGGCTGCACAATGCAGTAACGTCTTATAATTACCAAACCATTCCTGAAGGTTGCACAAACGTTTGTTCTGACTGCATAAACATTGAAGTTTAGGTTTCCCATTTATCTCTCAGGTTGAACGAAATCAAAATAAGACTGTGGCTTAGGCACGTAGAAAAACTCTAGGGGATTGCATCAAATGATTTGTTTCAACGACTTTCTTTTTTAAAATGGGCCACAGTGGGGCTGGTGGGGATTTGTGCTTTCGGCAGATGAGTGCACATGAGCGGTTTTCCATGTGCCCACTTTGTCTGTTGGGGGGGGGGCGGAGGGTCGGGACGTTGGCTACAGATTGAAAATGAGTCCTCCAAGGGATTATGTGAGTTCGCATTATCTGAAATACTTAAGCCCTCTGTCTTGCCTTTTGTGACTGCCAGAGATCATGTTTGTTCTTCCTCTGTTCACTGACGTGCATCAAAGTATTTTATGCACCCAGCCAAATCGTTGTACAACGCAAAAACGAAAACCGTGACACATCAGTGTGAAAGCTCGGTTTTGGGCCCGTGGAGGCTGGTGACTCTGATGCTGCTGCAGGGTCAGTGATTCACCTCCTCCAGGCTTTGGTCCAGGTTTTACAGGTGCTGCTGAATCATATCCTCCCAAGAAGGCTGAACACCCTGCATTGTTGGTTTTTTTAAAACACTTTGGACTAAAACCCGGAGAGGACTCACGGTCCCTGCAAGATTAGAGTCACCAGCTTCCACTTCTGAGGGTGCTAGGGCTGCCGATGGTTGAAGTCAGGCTCAATTTTTGGAAAAAGGCAAGGCAAGGGGTACAGAGATGTGGCGGGTTCAGTGGCGCTTTCTTCTTCGGGAGGATGAGGTGTATGGCTGGACTTTGCATATGAAATGGTTGGGTCTGGATGTACAGAACCCCAGGGACTCAGAGAACTAGGTAACAATGCTGACAGTCACTTTCTCAGTCAAATTCTTAGTATACCTGTTAACCAATACTGCAGTGGGCAGGGTGTGGGGTGAGGAAGGTTTCCATGGAGTATTATTATCTTGCAGCTGGAGGGGATATGGTAAGGTGAGGCGCTGCTACTGCTTATTTGATCTCCTTCCCCCCCCCCCGAAACTCCTTCCTTGCCTTTGGGACTTTTGGTACCCTCCTTTGGGTCCTATTGACTCATGGTCTGGATGCAATCCCAAATGAGCTCTATTTCAAGCGCCCATTCCACTTTTGGACTGGGAGGCATGTCCATAGTGCAGGGTCAAGCCATGAAAAGGGGGGAGGGAAAGAATCCAGCTAAAGAGATGCACTCTTTGGCTTAGACTGGACCTCCTTCAGGTGAAACATAATAAAGGAATCTAGCTATGAGGTAGTAGGCAGTAGAATATTGAAGGATCTTCCTGTTCTAACAATGGAATATCTACAGCATCTGTTTTGGTCCTCTTATGATTAGTACAGTAGTAGCTACATTGGTAACAGCTAGCAATGAAATAAGGTACTTTTGAAAACCAAAAGAGGTAGGGGACTCTCTGGAAGCTAAGACAAAGACTCGCTCAAATAGACCAGAGGGGCTGCTGTCCTCCTTTCCAACTATGACATTCTTGCAGGAAAATCAAAACATTTTGTTGTTTTTCTCTTCCTCATCTTGGAATGCCTGGTTTTTTCCCCCTCATTGTCCTTCTACAACACATCTGGCAGAAGAACTTAGACTTGAGGGACACAAACACCTGGAGGAGATGCTTTCTCTAGACCAGGAGTAAAGTGTTTTCCCAAGACCCCTACTCTCCTCATGCTCCCTGACCATAAGCTTCCTCCATGTTCACTTAGAAATGGCTTCTTGAGTGATTGGAGAGCTGGAAACTAATCTGAGAGACATCTTCAAGCCCCCAAGGGCCATAGTGAGAGGACTAGGCCTCGTCAAGATGACCTGCTTTCAGTCTAGATCTTTCCTACTTTGGGATTTACACAGACTTCCTTGTCTTCCATTAGGAGACTGAGAAGGAGGTTTGGTAGCCTTTGTTGGTTCATTCTGATCCCACAGAGGGGCATGAAAAAGTCACAGTCTCTGTTTCATAGGCCCTTGGGGAGATGGGCTTCCACTGATCAGAATGAAACCTCCATTTCACCCTGTCACCTTGGGGATGTGATTGTCTAAAAGGCTCCCCTAGTGAATTAAAAAAAAAGGTACAGGGAAGCCAAAAAAAAAAAAAAAGCTGGCATGTCACAGATTTGTGCATGACTTTGGAGTGATTGCTTTGGGCTTTTTCGGCTAATGTGATGTTTGCACTATATAGATCACTTGTGTGATGGTTCCAAAACCATGCAAATGGAAGGCATATTTTACATGAGAACCAGACATGTGTTTCCTAAGTTTCTCACTAGCAATTCTTTATTATGGAAGTGGCAATGCTAAACAGAGTTTAAACAGGAACACTGGAAATACAGTACTAGTATGTGGTATCACTAAAGTTTGATCTGTCTCACCTTTTTAAAGCAGTATACAGTCTTGGTGTTCTGGAAGGCTAAGTTAACTCTACACCATTTGGGAAAGGGGAGCAGTCCCTCTCGCTGTGTTTGAGTTCTGGTCTGAATCTTCCAACACTGCATTTATTCCGCCCTTCCTTTTCCTACAGGCACCTCACCAGATTAAAGTATAATCTTACCAACATTGTTCAGTGTGCTAACAGGTGTAGTAAGCATCCGGTTAGACACCCCCCCTTCGGGGAAACCACCTAGCCTTAAATCTGGGATTTGCTCTGTATCAGGAACAGTCTTTCAGGGTTTTTTGGAATGCACCTCTTGTCATACTATACCACTGGCTATGATGGCTAGTGCTATTGTAGTTGTAGTTCAATGGCATCCAGAGGATACACATTTCCCCCTTGCCTGCCCTACATGAAACTGCCTTAGCAGATAGCTGTCTAATAATCTTAGAACTGCTGACCTGGAAGGGACCATATGGATCATCAGGTCCAGCCCCTGCCGAGGAGATATCATGCAGAATTGGACTCCCAACCTCTGGCTCTGCAGCCAGATGCCTAAATTGCTCTAAAATGTCCCTTTTGTTCTTCTAAAGAAAGATGCTCGACAATGCCTTATGGTCTGAACTGGGAAAGAAGATGGGTTTCCTTCTCCACCTCCACTCCAATGGGCACACGCACGAACACCCACACACACACACCCCTGATCTATTCCATAATTTGAGGGAGAATAGGGGGAAGAAACTCACATATGAATTTTGAATAGCTGAAGCTGACAATATTGTGATAAATAAAGTCAGATTACTGCTGGGGACTTATGCATGATCAATAATCCATCTCTCCTTGCCTAATTAATGCAAATTAAAATTGTTGCTCCCCTGCTTTTCAATGACATTTAGTTTCATAAACAGTCTTCCCTTGCATGTAAAGTTTAGAGAACAGGAAAACAGGGACTCCAGAATTCCACGCAAGCCTGGGTCTGAGCAGTCCTAGGCTGGACCAGAGTTCTTAAGGCAAGGTGCAAATGGAAGAAGTGTGAAAGATAGAGGCCCTAGAAAGCAGTTAGGTCCCCAGATGTTCTTGGACTACAACTCCCAGAAGCCTTCACCACTAGCTGTTCTAGCCTGGATTTCTGGAAGTTGTAATCCAAGGACATCTGAGAACCCAAGCTTGGGAATCACTGCCTTAGAGGATGGGTAGAAGAAGTGAGAAATACCACCATCATCCACATTGCTTCCATCCTACTTTTCCAACAAGTACATTTGGGGAAAGGAAAGGAAAAAGTAGAAAGAAAGTGATCTACTTTGGGCAGCCATGGAGGAAAACCAGAGGAGAATATAACTGGGTGTATGATCACCTAATCCATCTGCTTTTGGGGATCTGTAGAGAGTACACAAG